TAGGATGTAAATTATCAATTCTAGTTTTTTGGCACATATTTATCAAGTATTTAAGTACAAAAATAAATTTTTTCGACGCTTAATATAGTGAAGAAAATGTTTTATGCGTGCTGCAACGTGATCGTGTGAAAAAAATGTTGGTTGATTACAGCCAGGATTGCGGTCGAACGGATGATCTAAAACGAAAAAACCAAAAATTTTCTTAAAATATATGATATTTGTTGGAGCTTGAACCTATAAAATCAAAAAAATATCGAAAATTGAAAAAATGACATGCATTTGAATTTTAAATGTCGTTTTTTACGTTTTTGTTCGCTCTTCAAAGTGCTGTGAAAAATCGAAAAAACATGAAATATCAGTCGCATTTAGGTTCATCCTCCAATAAATTTAATTTACTTTAAAATAAAAAAAAGTTTGACCCGATCCGTCAATTAGATCTTGAGAAATCGTGGCTACAGTTTTGAAAAACAATATTTTTCAGAAAACGCGTTTAAAGTTTTGATAAGGGTTTTCTTTGTGTAAATCGAAAAATAATGTACCTTTCGGTTAATCGGCTATTCCTGGACCATACATTAGGGCCTTCCTCCATTTCGTAATGTTTCATTTGTGACGATTGATCCGTTTTTACCATATGATGGTAAGGTAGAGTAATATAAGTTCAAATTTCAAAGATATCGACGTAAAATACGCGTTACCGAACGAACTCAATTTTAGTCGATTTTAGTGTAAAAAGGTGGGTTCGCTTTTTGTACCACTTTTTTTTCAGCCAAACTTTTTCTGGCGTTTAAAAAAATTTTGACATTTTCGGGTCGAGTTTCATGAGAACCTGCCCTTAAATACTTTGCGAGTTATAAGGCTTGAAAGTTATAGTACCGTCGGCACTAACATTACCCAAGATGTCCGACCGATGGCTAAAACCTCTTGAATGTTGTTCAGGATCATGGCCTGGATAACATTTATCAAGATCAAGATCATTGGAAGTTGTACCTCTTATTTTCATTTTTACGTACAAATGAATTTTTAGTGCAAAAATGAAAATAAGAAGAACAGCCTCCAATGACTTTGATCTCGAAAAATGTTATCCAGGTCATGATCCTGAACAAAATTCTTTAGGTTTTAGCCGTCGGTCGGACATCTTGGGTAATACTAATGCCGGCGGTACTGTAACTTGTAAGCCTTATAACTCGAGAAGTACTTAATGAAAATGGAATTAATTATAGTATTTTGAAAAGCTCTTAAGGTAAGTTACAAGAATATATAATGAAAAATGGAAGGTTTCATTTAAAAAATTCGAAGTGACCTTGCCCTGACCTTGACAACGCCACCCAACATCAAACCAATGATACCATTTTATGTCTCCCTCGAAGTCACAATACATTTGTTTGAAACATTTTTCTCTAAAATGCGCTATTCAAGAGAAATTTGAGGTTGTCATTTTAAATGGAACACCGTATATATGTAAGGTTGGGAAGTAACGCATCACTTGTAATGCGACGTTACATTTTTGGTTTTTTTTTTGGTAACGGTTTGGTCACGCCGTTACTTTTTTTTTGTTAGTAACGAAAAAGTAACGACATTACATTTTCTTTGGTAACGAATAACGAAATTGACTCCGTTACTGTTTTATCGTTATTTTTTTATAGACCATGGTCGTCACGGACAATAAGATTATACTAAATAAGCAAAAAACTTTTTGCCTATTTTTTGTTTCATTCACTATGCTTTAGCATAAGAACACTGAAAATTAAAATAACTGTATAAATGTTATGAGTTTCGCGAGTTTCCTCCGTGTCCAGATCCATTCTTGAGATGCCAACGTTTCGTAAACCTTGCAGTCCACTTCATCGGGGCGAGGGGCAGCCCGATACTGAGCTGTTCCTCCGGGCCGTTCGTTTTTATATTACGCTGTTTGTTGGTGTGGTGGGGATGGGCGGAGAGGGGGAAGAGGTTGTGGGAGGGGAAAGAGGTGGCGGAATTGGTCGGTCTTCAATAAACAACTTGTTTCCCTCAACAAACAACATCCAAATATCCACTTCACTATAGACATAGAGGAAAACGGAAAACTCCCTTTCCTAGATGTTCTTGTCTCTAAGAAAGCTGACGGTACCTTAGGCCATCAAGTATACAGAAAACCAACACACACAGACAGATATCTACATGCCGAGTCGCACCACCACCCAGCACAAAAACAGTCAGCAATCAACTCACTAGTACATAGAGCTTTCACCATCTCTGACAAAGAACACCTACCGACAGAACTCAACCACCTCAAACTGGTCTTACAGAAAAACGGACACGACAAAAAAGACAACCAAAATAATCAATAAACATGCAAACAAGACAACGGTATTTGACACACAACCAGACGAAAGGACCCTAACCATCCTCCCATATGTCAAAGGAACAACAGATCGGATTGGCAGGATATTAAACAAACACAATATCCGAACTATCTTCAAACCACTCAAAAAGATAGGACAAATCTTAAGAAATCCTAAAGATCAAAGACCTCCTCTCAGTTCCGCAGGAGTATACAAAATACCTTGTTCCTGCGGGAAAGTATACATTGGAGAAACCGGGAGAATGGTCAATCTACGGATCGAAGAACACCAACGTGATGTCAGACTAAAATACACCACGCAGTCGGCATTATCAGAACACAACGTCGAAACAGGACATCAAATACTGTTTGACAAAACGACCACAATAGTCAACAGTACATCATACTTTCCAAGAAAGTACAGAGAAGCCATAGAGGTACAAAAACACCCTAACAATTTAAATAGAGATAATAGCTACAACATAAATAAAATATGGAAGATCATTCTCCCGGTTATTGAAGACCGACCAATTCCGCCACCTCTTTCCCCTCCCACAACCTCTTCGCCCTCTCCGCCCATCCCCACCACCCCAACAAGCAGCGTAATATAAAAAGGAACGGCCCGGAGGAACAGCTCAGTATCAGGCTGACCGTCGCCCTGATGAAGTGGACTGCAAGGTTCACGAAACGTTGGCATCTCAAGAATGGATCTGGACACGGAGGAAACCCGCGAAACGCAAAATATTTATACAGAGACCACCCGTGAAAGTCTCAAGAATGTTAATTAAAATATCTATTATATGTATAATAAAATATAGAATTAAACATAAATATGTAAAATATTTCTAAAGTAGATTAACACCTTTTATCACTATACAGTTTATTAAAAAATTTTATTACAATGTGTCCACATACAACACACACGTGTCAAATCGTCGCATGTAAGAATCAGAACGTATAACTCGCACACGATTACTTGTGACTGTTTGTATTAATGCCTTGAGGGTATTTACCAACGGCAACGCCTGGGAGCTGTAGACCTGAGCCGTGGTTATGACTACGTTTTTGATGGACGCCCTTGAACCCCTCTAGGGTAACGCCTGGGGACGTCGTCTATTGAATTACGTAATGTCTTCAGTTGCGTTTATTGTCACATATACGCATTCACATACCGGAGATTAAGCACTTCGCACTCAAGATACGCGTAACATGTGTCGAAATCGCGTACACATGGTTAAGGTCTCAGCAGACTACACGAGGTGGTCGATACCACGGATACGGATCGAATGCTGGTCGTTCGTCACTCTTCGGAGACCACGAGCTACCCGAACCGATATCGTTCGAATCCTGAAAATGCCCGACTCTTATTTTTCTATAGATCACACGGGACCGCGGACGTCGCCGTCGATCTCGCGAGTTCGTTTCATGCTGCGCGCGTGTTCGGCGGACCTTTTGAGAGCGCGACCAAGGCAAGATCGCGGATATAGATTTCAGTATCACAGGCACCCGATTTAA